GATAAGAAAATCTTTCAATTAAACTTATTCTAGAACTGAACAGCTGCTGATTTTAATATTTTCCAGGTATTCACTTTTTTTACCTGTTTCATGTTTTGATGACATGGAATTATGTTGAGATGATGATACAACTGTACCAAAGCTAGAACACACTGCTTCTTTCACTCTTGAAAGTTCGTGCAGCTGGTGAGACGAGTTTGGAAATATCAGCTCTTGATATCACTGAAGGCAGCAAATTCTAAAGATGCTTTTTGGAGGCATCTGTATTTTTAGGCTTGTTTTAGATATAACCACCTTCTCTTTGTAGCAGTCTATCAGTTAGTAATTAATATATTTATGGCAACCTCCTCCCATCAGTGACAAATGTATTTGGTGCAAAAATGCTTGAGCTTCACATAGTCATAGTTGGAAGATAAAGTTGCAATACAAATACCAATATTCATGCTTAAATGCACCACAAATGGAACATTTCTCTTTCTTGATGAGTGCCCATAATGCACACTGCAAGACACTACTATGATACAAGATTGCATACTTCCAGCAATATTGTTGTTTTTCTTCTCCTCCAAACCTTAACTGAAAACAAACAGTTCACACATCACACAGCTGTCTCCAGATCCTCACTTCCAAACACCCATTCCAGGCACACTGGTAACTGCTGTGGGGCAAAAGGTGTCTGGAGTGTCTCTTGGCTGTCTCCTGGCTCTCCCTGCACCCATATTTGGCACAAGCAAGAGTCTTGCAGTGCCCAGAGCCACTGCACTTTGCACTGCAATGTGGGAATGCCACAGTTCCTAGTGGGAACTGCCCTGATATCCAAGCAAGAAGTCTGTCAGTAGCCCTACAAGCTGTGTCTCATCCCGAGAGCCCCTCATCAGGTCTCAGGGTCCGGCTGTCGAGGTGACCCCAGGAGTGTAAAAGTCCCTGTTCTCCCAGCCCGTGCAGCCAAAGAAGGAGTCGGAATGCATAGGATCAGCTTCGGTTGTTTATTTTTCCTTATCTGTAACATTCTTTCTCTGACCTGCTGAGCTCTGTCCAGCAGGTCGGCCATGGCATTCTGTGTCTTACCTTGGGCAGCATTTACATTTTATACTAAAAACTACATGTACTATATTTACAATAATGTGCCAATATCAATCATATATGTTAGACAGCGTGTCTGTACCTTAAACCAATATAAAAGTGTCACCATCACACCAAGACATGGAAGATAAGAAGAAGGAGAAGAAGGCCAGGACATACCCAAATTCTTCCATCTTGACCCCTTGAACCCCTTATTTTAAAACCCTAAAATTCTACTTTTTCACTCTGTGTTAATTCAACTACCACACAACTCAAACTCTCGTGGCTTGTAATTCATCATACAGAGTTGGCAGTTTTTTCCATGGGCTAAAATCACAGATGCTTTTGACTTCATGCCAGGGTCTCTGAGCCCCCTGCCAGGGTCTCGAGACAGCCAGGACAGCCAGGGCGATGTCCTGGACTGTAACAATACTTGTTTTACTTGTATTATTGTTGTTGTAATTACTATTGTTGTCAGGGAGTCTTGCCCAAGGTTGTGTTTCAGAAAAACAAGAAGAAAGCAGCAGCAGTTTCCCAAGATTCCAGCACAGCATTGCTGATTCCAAGGCTCCTGTGCCTTTAGTGAGACTCGATTTGGTCCCTCATCCTGGGGAATGTGTGAGGCAGCACATCTGTGTGTGTCTCCTGTGCTGATTTCAGAAGCTCAGTTTCCTCCCAGTGGTTTTTGGTGAGGCTGGTTGAGGTTCCATGTCTGGGACAGTGTTCTTTGCCACGCAGCTTCTCACTAGACTCTTCTCCATTCTCAAGTGATAATTTAATGAATCCTGGAATGTAAATAGGGCTATACAAAAAGGTCTCTGTTCTCAGACTGTGTCTTACTGGTGTGTTACAGAAGAGGAATTTCCTTTGCTTCTTGCAGTGGTTTTATTGGTCTCTCCTGGCAGATATCAAATGTGAAATCTACCACTTCCCTTCTGGAGTGCTAATACACTTCTGGAAGGTCTGCACTTATCCACTCATCCTTTTGATTTGTGTCAGAATCTGTGGTATTGATGATTCCAAGATTGTAGAAAGTCTCTGTCTGTCAGCCCCACTGCCAAAGCAGAAGCCATAATTGGTCTGTGCTGGTTTCAAGGTTGTTTATTCTGTTTATCTCTAACATGTTCTGCTGCCCTGCCCAGCTCTGTCCTGCAGGGCAGCGTGTGGGGCTCTGCCCTCAGTGGGATGTGACAAACATTAAATACCAGAAACTCCCTGGGCTGGATTTACAATAACATGCCAATATCTGTCACCTACGTTGGACAGTGTGTCCCCAGCCTGAACCAACAGAAAAATGCCAACACCACAGTGAAACATGGAGGACATGAAGAAGGAGAAAAAGGACAAGACACACCCAATTTCCTCCATCTTGTCCCCTTTGAACCCCTAATCTAGAATCCTAAAATTTTACTTTTGCACCCGTGCCACACTTAATTATTACTGATATCAAACACTCAGAGCTGGTAATTCATCCTGTAAGATTGAAAACTCTTTTCCATGGACAGAGATCACAGCCAGTGTCTCTGGGGGCTCTGTCCAGGGGGGTTCCTGACCCCTGCCAGGGTCCCAGACCTTCAGGGCAGCCAGAGGGAAGCCCTGGACTCCACAGATTTGATTCAGTTTGTTCTGCACAGCAATTTCCTGGGATGGTTTCACCTGGCCTCCTATTCTCTGCTGCCTGTTCTTTTCCTCGCAGTGATTCACAGGGTGTTACTAGAGAAGTCAGTTCTTTGCCATGATGATGCTCTGCTCACAATTTATTGTCTTTATGTTGCTTTCTATTTGCTTGATTTGAGCTCTAAAATGTCAGCTATGTTTTTACAAACAGATCATCCATAACAAACATTTTTCAAACAAATTACCTGAAAGTAAGTTTTTTTTCTGTCTTAACAAGGGTATTTGGTAGTTCCTCAAATTCATTATCTCATTTACAATGGGAATTGTTTCTTCCATGAATCCTATAAATACTGATTTATATATATATATGATTTCACAGAGGCAAAAATCTCATTGTGAAGTCAGCCACAGTTCCTGCACTTGGATTAATGGATATCCTATTTCTGACCAGAAAATGTTTGCATTATGGGACATATTCCAATCTAGACTCCAGACTAACAGTCCCACTCTCAGTTCGCTATAATGACCTCTTCATTCTTAGTGTATACATGGGAGCAAGTACAATCATAGCAGACTTTTACAGCCTCAATCTCTCATAGGAAACTTGGGAAGCACCAATTGTTCATTTCCTTTCCAGCAGATTCCTTAACTTGGGCATTTGGTCACTGTGCATTACA